TATATTAGAAAACAACGTCTCTCAGAAATAAAGATATAGAACTTGTGAACTATAATGAAAATAAACCGAAATGTGGTATACTTATATTCAGGTATTACAGGTATAAAAGCAATACTTGTGCAAAACTTAAAAAAATTATTATGAATGTATGGATATGTTAGAATTTGGGGGGTTTGCCCAATGTATTTCATTTTAACGTTGGGTAATTTATTAATTTCATAAATATGCCACTCCAAATTTTGAATGGAAGAAAGTGTTAAGATAACTTTATTATATTAGAGAATAAATTCAATGCCACAAATAATTTTTTAGGAATGAATTGGGTTTCCAGACTTTAAATACTTTTTACCCTAAATTATTTGGAGATGGGTTTGGGGCTTCCATATATTGACAAAAACAACACACTTGAGCTCTTTTTTGCCTCTTTCTTCTTTTCTAAGTGAAGGGGAGAAGGATCTATTACCCCATCTCTGGGTTTCCAGCATCCAGGCCATGCGCTCCTTAATTTATTAGACATTGACTTGAGATTGAACATGCTTGACCCACCGGCCCCCCAAACCAGGGCTCCTTTTCAACGAAGAGGCAAAATGCAGAATTTCTCATTTGTATTCCACTGTGTTTTATCAGAGTCACTGCAGCAGCCCTGATGGGTCACGGGTGTTCGCACACACATACATGAACACACTCACATATGCACACACACGGCTTTGCTCATTCGCCCTCACCCCGCCCCTACTATCACAAACACAGCAGTCTGTTATTTGGCAATTTAAATAATTTTCCCCATGGCGATGCCCAATTAGTCTGTAAAATTTGTCTTCAAAAAGAAACTATCTCTCTGTAAAGAGAGTATGATTAATATATCATTATAACAAAACTTAAATATAAATTTTACTCATTCATGAATTCACTAAGCCAACAAATTCTTATCAGCACTGTAGTGTTGGGAATTCCAGGGTGAGAAGAACAATATGGTCATCCCTGCATTGAGCTTCAAATCTGACAGAGCAGGAGGCTTTTGAACGGAGCATGGGAAGTCCAAGTTCAGTGTGCTGTGGGAGCGTGGAGCAGAAGCGCTAAGTAAGATGAGGGGCAGGAAGGAAAAGAGGTGGGTGAGGTGCTTGTGCTGGGAGCACAGAAGCTGGGGGACACTCACAGGAGGTCTCCATTCTTTGTGCTCATCAAATATATACAAACTACACAGGTCGATGTTTAGGATTATTTTCATTGTTTGCTGTTGTTGTCCATTTCTTTTTATCATAGGAGAATATACCAAGTACCTTTTGTTCCTGCAACTCTCTCCTTACCCTGTTTTTTAACTTAAAAATACATCATAGATAACATTACAGATAAAAGGTCTAATTTTTATTTTTTTGAGATAAGTGTAGATTCATGTGTATTTAGTTATAAGAAATATTATAGAGAGATCTGTGTATATTTTTTCTCTCTCTCCCAATGGTAATATCTTGCAAGATTATAGTATAATATCAGAACCAAGATATTGATGTTATTTAGATGTTTGTGGTTTTACTTATACTTATTTGTGTGTGTATGTATAAATTCTATATAATTTATCATCTGTGTAGGTCTGTGTATGCACCATTACAATCAAGATAACTGCTCAGTTTCAATAGAAATTCATGTGACCCCTTTATGGCCTCATACTCCCTGACAACCACACCCCAAATCCCATTCCTAACCTTAGCAACTAATGAGCCCTCCATTTCTAAAATTTGTCATCTCACAGATGTTATGGATTGAGTTACCAAGCATGTAATCTTTTGGGTTGGCTTTTTTTTTCAATTGGCATAATTCACTTGAGATTCATCCAGGTCACTGCGTAGATCAATAATTTATTCTTTTTATGACTGAGGAATTTTTCATGATATGAGTGAACCCCAGTTTGTTGCAAGGTATCTGGGTCCTTTCCAGTTTGGCACCATTATAGAGAAAGCTGCAGTGAGCATTTTTGTCAGGTGTGTGCGGGGGGGCAGGGGTGTGGTGTGAACATATTTTCATTTTTTTCCTGAGATAAATGTCCAAAAGTGCAATTGTTGGGTTCTGTGATAGTTGCATATTTAATCTTACAAGGAGCCGCCACACACTTTCCAGGATGGTTACACCACTTTGCATTTCCACCAGCGATGTCTGAATGACCTAGTTTCTCCAAAACCTCATAAGCATTTGATGATGTTACTATTTTTTTTCCATTTTCACCATTCTGATAGGTGCTCACTGATATGTCATTGTAATTTTAATGAGCATTTTCCTGATGACTAACTTAAAACATCTGGATCTATTCGTGTGCGCACATTCCCCCATACATAAATTACATTTATATACTGGGTATTGTCTCCCGTTCATTCTATTTTCTTACTTCTGTTTTGCTTGTCTTTTTTCCCTTCGTCTTTCTTTTCCATCACCTCATTATCATCTTCCCTTATGCTGGTAATGCTTGTTAAAACACACACAACTCTCTCCCATTATTTATTTTACAAAATGTGATCATTCAGTATATACTTCTCTGCTAGTTGTTTTGTTTGAAGAACTGAACTTCATAGAAGTGTTTTCTATGAAGTTAATTGGTTTAATTAGAATTCTTCCAAGTGATTGCATATTATTTTAGGGTAGAAGATACCATAACTTATTCAATGGTTTTCTTTATAGGCATTTGCCAGTTTCTAATTCCATTGTCATCACACGAATTGTGCTTAAAGCCACAGCCACACGTGCCAGCCCACGGGGGGACATGGGGTATGTTCCGAAAAGGTCCACAGAGTCAAGGGGATGCGTATTTATTGCATGACAGTCGCCAGTATTCTTGAAAAGATCATTGAAATAGTTCACCCTCCCACGAGCCGTTACTAGAATTACAATTTTACCTGTGTTTGCATTAGAAATCAATGTCACAGCTCCGTTCACTTAGCTTGAATCTTCTTGCTCTTTTGATTCTCACGTCCCCGACTGCTTGATAGTTTGAGTCTTGTCGTTTGTAAGCAAAAGTACTCCGATTCCCTGAAAGTACCTTCTTTTCTCCCACCGGCATGTGCCACAAAGACAATCTTTAAAAGTCATGCCATTGTTTCTTAAATGTGATTTATTACTAGCTTCAAGCACACTATTATATCATCACATAATTTGTGGTTTAAAAAAAATAAGTAATGCTTTCACATAAGTCGGAATCTAACATTCTTCTGTCTTCGTATTTGGATCTAGTTTTAGCTTGCTCTCCAGAAATTATTATTTTTTTAATCCTAGTCTTTTTCTTTTTAAGATTTTTAGTTCTTTATCTTTAGAGGGGAAAGGAAGGAGAGAGGGAGAGAAGTATCAATGATATGCTTCTCGTGTGCCCCCTGCTGGGAACTGGCCTGCAACCCAGGCATGTGCCCTTACTGGGAATCAAGCCCCTGTTCTTTGGTTCGCAGGCCTGTGCTCAATCCACTGAGCTACACCAGCCAGGGCTCCAGAAATTCTTGTCTTGGGAATTAAGCTCATTCTCTTTTAACAAAGAGTCCTTCATTTCTCAAAAACCTTACATGAACCAGGAAACCATCACTGCTGTGACAACAAGTAAGTAAATAAATAAATAGATAATAAAAATTTTGTTTAAATGTTCTGACTTCAGACTTGCGGGTTACAACTCTGAACTGTATTTCTGAATTATGTTGGAATATATTTCAATATAGCCTTCTTACCTCAAATAACATAGTCCAGAGCTGCCTGTGTTTCCACAACATGGCTCAGTACAATTTCAAAGATGCAAAACAGAGCATTTCAAAGATGCAATGGGAGCATTGAAATGTGAAGCATACCATCAATAGTGAAAATTATCCTACATCTATTCTTGACAACCAGTTTTCTGAGTGTCGTTGGTTTTAACAGAAGACGTTATTTCACAGCTCAGAAAAACAGTGACGTGGTTGTAGACAGTTTGAAGACAGAGGAGAAGATACGAAGATTTGTATGTGTGAAAATATGATCCCGAGAAGGATGAGAGAAGTCCTGTTACAGAACAGAAATTTGCAATACCAGGTAACAGACTTCTGATCAATGCCACACAGTCCGCTTTAAATGATGAAATGAAGTCAGATGGCAAGTGAAGAAAAGTATAGCAAAAGGAAGGAAGCTTTCAAGGAAAGAAGGACACTCTGATGAATTCTAATGGTTTAGTAAAACTGAGATAAGAGTAGGTGTGGAGGTGTGAGCAATTTTATTTAGGCAAAGTGACATTACTGGTTTTAGAATATTATAACCTGGTAGCATTGACTTCCATACACTTTAACTATAAATACAGTACTCAATAATTCTTTTCCTAAACACTCAGCTATTAATTTAAATTCACATCTTTCAAACCCTTAGTGCTTTTTGCTTCCATCCATTCAAAAATGAATGTGCTGTTTCATTAAGTAAAATCCTTAAAAAGCTGTAATAAGTAATACATGATATAGCACAGGAAATGCAAAATGAAAAATACTCCAAATTCCAACTAGAAGCCATCCTGTGTCTCAATACTTTATGAACTGGGAGACTCAAATTCAGTCAGATATTTATTTGCAGCTTGAGGATCCACGAAGGTAACCGATTGCTCTAAGTTCAGTTCTGAAGGGGCTGGACAGGCTGCCCTGCGCCACTCTTCCGCCAGGCTCTTTCGTTATTGCCACACCAAATGCCCCTACTGCCCCCAGCGAGAACCATAATGCACTTCATAACCTTGCCCTAAGGACATCGCCCAGGCACTGCTCCCTTAAATCTCCAAACTCGAATGGAAGCCTGAACAGTCCTCTGACCACCTGGGAGCAAAACCCAGACACTGACCGATAATAAACAAGCACCAAGAACATCCGAAAAAATGACTCCGTTGAGCTTCCGAATAAAGCCTTCCGGGGCACATTCTCATCACAATAAGCCATCCTACTCTGCAGTGCATCTCAGTTCATGTGGGCCCTGTCTCAGAAGCAGCGGAGTTTCCTCCAGCTGCAGACGGGGCTATCACTGCTTACCTGACTCACAGGCAAATGTCTTGGATGTTTCATCATGAAAGATAATGGCCACCGCATGCTTCTTTGTCTCTCGAGGCAGTCTGGTTATATTTTTGATGTTGTGCAGTTCGGTGACCTTGGAAGAAAAATATTTTTTAACTTGGGGTACGGTATATGCTGTATACCTGTGCGCTTAAAGAAAATGATCAGTTATTCCTCTCTTATCCCACTTTTCCAGCGGGTATTTGTATTCCTTTCTAATTAACCGCAGCCAAAGACAATACAGAAGAAACCAAATGTCATCCACCATGCCCTCAGTTTTGGTCGTTCTTAGCTGAACTTTGAAATAATCTTAAGATTATGTGGAAGAATAGCTCCATGAAAGCAAGGGCCGGGTGCTTTTATTTAAAGTGTATCTCCTGCAAACACTAGCACTTGTGCTGCACACAGGATTCCCAATAAAGTTTTGTTGAATTTGGACTGGATTTAATTTCTTGCCTCTCTCCCACCCATCCTGCAAGTTGCTGGTACCACTGGAGTCAGGATGCAACTGACACCTGTTGATTGGCAGACAAAATGACTCTACAAGTTTAGGGTCGTTAAACATAAGCAATGGGTGTGTTTCTGAGAAAAATGCACATAATGCCCATCTTTACCTTTACTTACGCCTTCTTTTGATGCTTTTTCTTGTTTGTATAGGTCTTGCTGCTTAACCTACATTATTATACTTCCATCTAAAAAAGTTCTTTCAATATTTCTTGCAAGTTAGGTCTACTGGCAACAAAGTATCTGAATTTTATTTATCTGATAGAGCCTTAAATTTGCTTCCCCACTGAAGGATAATTTTGCAGGGTACAGAATTGTAGGTCGGAGGGATTTTTCTCTCCTAATATTAAATAGTTCCTTCAACTGTCTTCTTGCATGATTTCGGAGGGAACAATGGATATAACTTTGCTCTTTGTTCCTTTAATGTGTCCACTCCCCAGCTTCTTTCAAGATTTTTTCTTTATCTTTGATTCTCTATAGTTATAAAATGATATGCCTAGGTATAGTTATTTTTTTGTCATTTATTCTTCTGCTTAATGTTCATTGGGCTTCCTGAATCTGTAATTTTTTGTCTGATATTAATTTTGAAGAAACTGTAAGTCATTATTGTTTCAAACATTTCTTCTGTTACATTTTCTCTTCTCCTCCTTGAATTCCCACTATGCATATATCACACCTATAGTTGCCCCATGGTCCTTGGATATACTGTTTGCTTTTGTCTTTGTTCTTTTTGTTTTTTAGTTTTGGTGATTCCTACTGAGATCTCCTTAAGCTCATAGATTCTTTCTTCAGTCATATCCAGTGTACTTATAAGTCTATCAAAGACATTCTTCATTTTTGAGACAGTGTTTTTTTATCCTTTTTTTTTTTTTTTTCGGTTCTTTCTTGGGATTTCCATCTGTCTCCCTACATTGCCCATCTGCTCTTACACACTGTCTACTGGATCCTTTAGAGCCCTTAGCATGTTAATCACAGTTGCTTTAAATTCCTGGCCTGGTAATGCCAACATCCCTGCCATGTCTTGTCCCGAGGCTTGTTCTGTCTCTTCGAATTGTGTTGTCTTTTGGCATGTCTTGTCATTTCCTATTGACAGTCAGAGGTGATATCCTGGGTAAAAACAATTTTCTGTAAATTGGCCTTCCGTAGTGAGGTGGTGAGGTGTGTGTGGGTGGGGGAGGTCCGTGTTCAGTGGTCCTGAGCCTCTGGACTGTGAGCTGACCAGAGCTCCTCAGTCCCCGCCGGCCTCAGGTGGGAGAGAGTGGGCAGGAGTGGGGCATTTCCTTCGTCTTCAACAAGGTGCCCGTTTGACTTGTCTGATCACTCCGTGGTGTTTTCCGTGACTGCCAACCAAGGGTTTTGTTGAAGGGAAAAGACTTAGTTCCCTTCGTGATTCACCAAGCCATCCTAAAAGCACTGTCAACCACTACCTAGTGTTCAAAATGGATAAAAAATTACAGATGTATTTCATATTTTAAGGAATTCTGGTCCTCCCGCCCTGACCAGCATGGCTCAGTTGGTTGGGAGTCACCCTGCAAAGCTAGAAGTCACCTGTTCAATTCACAGTCAGGGAACAGGCTGGGGTGTGGATTCTGTCCCTGGCTGGGGGCTTATGAAAGGCAACCCGTCAAGACTTCTCTTTCACATTGATGTCTATTTTATCTCCCATTCATTCTCCCTCCCTTCTCCTCTCTCTGAAAATAGACAAACAAAAACTTAAAAAAAACCTTTTGGTCCCCCAAATTGAAGATAATACCTCCAATGCTGATTAGGACATGGTAGCACTGAAAGACTTAAAATAATACGTGACTAAACAATGCACCCTGTGTCATGTAAAATAATATCTGTAAAATATAACTATTTGGCTACTTGTTTAAGAGCCTGATGTTGTTTGTCACATTCCCTCCTAAAATCTGTAACGACCAAGACTTCTAGCCTGATAAAAGAATGAGCTCATTACTCGGGGTTGCAGTGTAGGCTTTCTGGAGCAGCCCTTTTGCCTTCTGTGCCAGTGAATCTACAGCTCTCTCACACTGCTGGAGAGTTCATTTTAATGTATGCTTTGCTCACATTTGTTTTTCTCTCTACTCTTAATTATCTCATTAGATTAACATGCAAAATTAAGATGAGCAAGATGAGTGATTTTTATATATATGTATGTATATGAGAAAACATATGTTTACATATGTCTATTCATGCAAAGCTTACATATATTTCCAGGCATGTACTACATATATTTCCTATCTATCTATGTGTTTATCTATCTATCTATTATCTATTTATCTGAAAATACTCAGCTTCTGTCCCAGGAAAGAAAATTTAGACACCAATACCAAAGGATTAATACCCTAGAGAGAAAGATGAGAAAGCTTTTTGGAACAATGATTCACATATTATATTTAAAGTACATTTAAGTATGTTCTCAAATGTAGTTACACTCTTGAATATTTAAATGATTTAATAATTGACTCAAGTGACATTAAGCCAAATTTTATGCTAACACAGTAAATTGAAGTTACATTTGAAAAAGAGATGATATTTTCAAGAATTATTCATTTTAACTAAACAGAAGATCTTTCCAAATTAAGTAGAGTCTAAAAGCAGCAAAGATCTTGTGTTGCTCAAGAGTTCATGCAATTTGTGTCTGGTGAGCATAATTGATAAGCTGCTATAGAAGATAATTATATGTAATCTCATTATACAAAAGAATATAAAACATCTATTCTGCTCAAGGGCTTTTTAAAGTATCTTTATTTATAAATATTAAAAAATATTAGGACAGATATTATGGATTACCTCTGTCTTCTCATAGCAAAAACCAAGAAAACAAACTAATGGATAGCCTACAAAAAAACAGCCAGCTTTTTCTAACTTTTCAAACTTTCGTGCCTTGGGTGATCTGACAGATGATAGAGTTCAAACAAGGGGTTTGCTCTTCTGCAAAATAACATTTAGAAATGCAGACAAGCTCTCCAGGCAGACTGTTACACTGGTTTCCAGGGCAGTGCAAAGCTTTTTGTTGCTGATCGTTAGTGTGATGCCATGCACCTGGTTGTGCCCCGAGACATTAAAGAGATGTCAGGAGGGCAAAGCGCTCATGAGGAGTGTAAACTCCCTCCTCTCACTCGTCCTTGTTAGGAAGTTCAAGTGTTACCCCAGATTATAAACCATTTTGAAGTCAGACCAGGAGCTTTCCTAAGGAGTCTGTGTATCTTTGGAACTATTCTTCTCCAATTCAATGTACATTAAAAAAAACATTTTGAATCATAACAATTGAGGTCAAGTCTAATATATTTGAATCTCCTATCCTCACTCTTAATTCTCAGGACACTATGGATCTACCATCCAGGAGGAAACTGCATTTTCATAGATGAAGACAACTTTAAAAATGATGTTTTTATCTGTTTAAAAATAAAAATGTTATTAGTCTAAATCCAGTCAATATAACATAAAAATCATTATCAACATTTATTATGATTGTGGAAATCCTATAGCATTTCAATAATAGATCAATCAATTATTATGTTACTTAATAACTGAATCTATACTTTGAAATATTAATTTTCCACATGGTCACCTTGGGTGACCAGGCACACTGTTAAGTATCAATTAAAGTTTAATAAAAACATTAAAATAATTAGTTTAAATAAATATGAAATTAACAGAATTTAAAGGAAAAATAACTCAAAATGATTCAGGTTGTTTAGTTCTAAGCCAAGAAATACCATAGTCAACAGTTTCAAATACTGAGGTCTAATAAGTGGTATAATTAAAACCAATATATAAACATACCTAGATGATGAGTTTGTTAACTGATGTGATTTAAATTTTTTCAAGGGGCAATCCTTAAAGAATTCATGGTGTTAAAGTCAAATTGTTCAAAGACGAAACATATAAGCCTTTTCTCTGAATTCACAAATAACAGTGATAAGCCCTAGTATAGACTTAAAAACAACTGTGAAGCAATGCGGACCTAGACCCGTACAGGCACACCTTGCAACGCTGCAGGTTCCACTCCAGGTCTAAATAAAGCAGCTATCCAGAATAAAGCAACTGTCTCCATAAAGTGAGTCCCACACATTTCCTGTTTTCCCAGTGCACATAGAATTTATGTTTATGCTACACTGTAGTCTATTATATGTGCAATATTATGTCTTAAAAACAATGCAAATACTTTGATTCAAATACTTGATTGTTAAAAATGCTATCACCTGAGCCTCCCATGAACCATACTTCTCTTGCAGGTGGAGGCTCCTGCCTTCATGTTGCTGGCGGCTCACTGATCAGGGTGGGGGTCACTAGGGACTGGGGTGGCTGCAGTAATTTCTTAAAATAAAGAAAAGAGATGTTTGCTGCATCAATCGACTTTATCCACCCACAACTGAACTTCTTTCAAAATTGGAATTAACCCTCTCAGTCCCTCCTTTTTGTTTTATTGGCTAATTTTATGTAACAATCCAAAGGCTTTGTTGTCATTTCAACCATCTTCACAAGGAGTAGGTGCCATCTGAAGAAACCATTTTCTTTCTTCATTCATTGGGAGCAACTCCTCGTCATTAGCTTTATCATGAAATTGCAGTAATTCTGTCACAC